GCCCCCCCCCCCCCCCCCCTCCCGTGAGGGTACACTTACTACCAAAGGAGGACTTGTAAGTTATTTTTAACATCGCAGTACCTTTATTTTTCATGTTATTTGTTTTTTTGGTAACAAATTTATTTCTAAAGCAGATTTATTCCCAACAATCTACATATTGCCTACATCACAAAGATTATCAGGAGCAAATACGATGAGTCATATCTGTCATGATAGCAAATACCTGTAGCCACTATAGACTTATGGTTCAAGAAATTTGAGGTACGATCATGTAATTTGAATTAAATTTATAAATTTAATTTAATTTCTTATAATATCACAAGGATTATTTTTACTATTGCAGAGGTTCTTCACCTGGCTCCTAGAGCACCGCTAATAGATCCGCCGAATCATCGAGATCTGGGGCAAGCATCACCTTGTCGAGATGTTCAAGACAACCTGCCAAAGGGGCGAGCAGTCTGCCTGGATTGGTGAGGGGCTTTGGGATTAATTGACTGCAGCTTGGGCCTCTCCTGATTATGAGGTAAGAGGCAGCCGAACCGGGCTAATCGAGTGATGGAGGGGGTCAGGGGAGCTACGCTCCATATTGGCAGATCAGTCCCCCACACAGAGAACTATAGGAAGTTAGTAAGATTTTTTTAGCTATTTGAACATTAATTCAAATTTTGAAGTTTACTTTTTTAGTGCTAACCACTTTTGTACAACAGAGACCAAGGAGTTGAGTCGTGCTCCCTCAGTTGCGGAGCTGCATGTTCGAACTCGTCGGTGTCCAGGGACTACACAATGGGTTTTGGAGTATTCCTGACGGGTTATCGTAAATTAAAAACCTTAAATAAAAAGTTTATTTTAATTATAACTACTGGAAGTATCAATTAAATACTGGTTTTCATCATGCATGAGGAGTTCAAGCAGCTCCGGGAGAGGCACTTGGCCGCTTAGGCCCAGACTTATGTCAGCAGCAGTGGTAGTCACTCTACCACTACGCAGTTCGACTACGAGATTCGAACCCAGGCTCCAGGTAGGAAAAAGGGGAGGGTTTAGGACCTTGTAGCAAAGGGCATAACCTTCGAGACCGAGCTCTCCCATGGTCCCGTTCTTAGTTCCCCGAGCTCCTCACAGCCATACTCAAAGGCTCTTGCCAGGTAGGTGACTGCAATGAACAAATAGATCTGTCGGTTGCGTAAGCAGATGCTAGAAGGCCAACATAGAGTCGAGGACTCTATAACGTGCATGGTGGAGACCTTATCAAATACCAGGGGCAAGCAGTCGATAACATCTCGTGCAGGAGGAGGAGGAGGATGGAGATGATGTGTTGTTTTTTTTTTTTTATTATTATTTAATTTGTAAACGTTATCTTGAAAATTTGTTTTAGAATTTTTTGGATTAACTTTTATATTTTTATTTGGGATGATCGTGACAATATCTTTCTTTTTTTAATGATACTTTTCAAAGATTTGATCTTTGATATGATTATTGTTTAATGAGGTATACGATGTGGAATGTATTTCTATGTAAGTTGTGAAAATGTAATCGATATTTACAATTTTTTATATGCTACAGATTTGCATCGGATTTGTGTCCATTTTCATACCCAAATTTCGACGCAAAATCGTCAATAAAATTTCAACGACGATATTTTCCGACGCTAATATTTATTGTCTAATATTTTTATACGTTAATTTTGACATATGCTTCAAATTAACAAATCAGACGCTAGTACGATGCAACAATGGACACAGATTATTTTCATCGGAATATTTCGACGTAAATTGGACATAAATAAAATTACCAACCCCTTATTTAACGGCTGAAAATATCGGACTCAAATCAGACGTAAATCCAACGCTAAACACCCTTAAATATCGTCTAATTAGCATCCAATTCACGTCTGATCTAGCCGACATAAATATGTTTAATTCCTGTAGCATATGAATGTAAAGTTTTATAATTGTAAATATCAAGATTCAATAATTAGATGTACAAATACATGTGAACTGCATGGTATACATGTAAATTGTCTAAAATGGGATCTTAGTGGTGACAATAATTTGATGAAATAACTATATATATATATATATATATATATATATAT